GAAAGGATAGACATATAGATAAATGGATCAAATAATAAAGAATCGAGAAATAGAGTCATATATATGGTCCATTAATTTTCAACAATGGTACAAAGAAACTCCATAGAGAAAGTAAACTCTTTCAACAAATGTTGCTGTAACCATTGGATACACATATGCAAAAAAAAAAAAAAAAAAAAGAGGAAAGAGAGAATATACATATGCCAAAAAAGAACCTCAATCTCTACCTCATACCGTATACAAAACTTAACTCAAAATGAATCATAGCTCAAAATGTAAAATCTAAAACTATAAAAATTCTGGAAGTAAACAGAAGAGAAAATCATTTTGACCTTGGATTAGGCAAAGATTTCTTACACACACACACCAAATCATGATCCATAAGAGAAAAAAGATGATAAATAGAACTTTATAAAATTAAGAACTGCTCTTCCAAAGATACTGTTAAGCATATGAAAAGACAAGTCACAAACTGGGAGAAAATATTTGCAAATCACACACTGAATATCTGGACTTCTATCCAGAATACATAAAGAACCCTTAAAACTCAATAATAAATAGATCGGCAACTCAATTCTTTAAATGGGCAAAAGATATAAACGAGACATTTCACCAAAGAAGGTGTACATATGGAAAATAAGCACATGAAAAGATACTCAACATCACTAGTTATTAGCTAAATGAAAATTAAAAAACACAATGAGATACATCCACCACACCTATTAGAATGGTTACAGTAAAAAAAGAAAAAAAAAGTTGATAATACCAAGTGCTGGTGAGGATGTAGAGCAACTGGAACTCTCTTGTACTGTTGGAAGGCATGCGACAAAATGGCCCAGCTACTTCGAGACAATTTGGCAGTTTCTTATAAATATAAACATGCATTTACTGTATGACCCAGCATTCCTATTCCTGGTTGTTTACCCAAGGAAAATAAAAATGTATGCTCACACAGAAACCTACACATGAATGTTTGTGGAGTCTTTATTCATAATTGCCAAAATTCCTAAGTGTTCTTCAGTTGGTGAAATGATAAAATGTGATTTATTTATATACTATCCAGCAACAAAAAGGAACAAAATATTGATGATGTATGCAAGAACATGGATGACTCTCAAACGCATAACATTAAGAGAAAGAAGGTGGACTCGAACGACTACGTACCCTATGATCCCATTTTTGTGACATTCTGGAAAAGGCAAAATGATAGAAATAGAGAACAGATCAGTGGTTGCCAGCAGCTCGGCCTGGGAAGAGCGGTCAGCTACAGAAGGGCAGGAGGGACCAAAGTGTTCTGCATCTTCACTGTGATGCCTACACAACTGCATGCATTTTGAAAACCTGTAGAACTCTACACTAAAAAAAATAATTTTACCATATATAAAGCACTCCTTAATTTTAAAAAACCAATATATAGTATTGAATTAATAAAACCACAGAATCCTTTTTAAAAAGAATATTGCTAATGCTTTGGAAGGAAAAAAAAAGGCCCCTTTTGGATAGGATGGTCAGGAGAAGGCCTCTGTGAAGAGGTGTTTAGCTGAAAGGTGAAGGAGATCTTTAACTGAAAGGTGAAGAAATAGCAAGGAGAAGAGTAGCCCTGCAGTAGGAAAGAGTTTGG